TAGTTTCCCCCTCTACCCCAACTGACCTGATTTCACGGTTAGTTGGGTAAATCATAAAAATAAGCCTTTCTCCAAAGTAAGCTGAAGAGAAACACTTTGCATCCGGGAGAAGAAACATGGTGAAGACAGGCTGAGGTTGTCAGGGCAAAGAGCTAAAGAAAGGAGGGCAGCCCCACCGGCATGGCTCGGTGGTTGAGCATCGACCTATGAACCAGGAGGTCACGGTTCGATTCCCGGTCAAGGCACATGCCCGGGTTGCTGGGCTCGATCCCCCATGGGGGGTGTGCATGAGACAACAGATCAATGATTCTCATCACTGATGTTTCTCTCTCTCCCCCTCCCTTCCTCTCTGAAATCAATAAAAATTAGAAAGAAAGAAAGGAGGGCAGAGTTAAAGAGGACAATGACTGGGGGACCCTCTGTGGGAAAAATATTTCTTCTGTGGCTTGTGCCACAGTGGTGGGGAAGTCCTTTATGTGCAGCTAGTACAATACCTGCGTTGCCTTTGATGGGCTGTCCTACTAATTAGCTCCATCTGCTTCCCTAGGGGCTTCCCAAGGCGGGCGGGGAGACAGAGTGCTGCTGGGACGAGAACCGAGTTATCGGAATCCAGTTCGATGGCTTATCCTAGAGCAGCTCTAGATTAAAATGAGCTGAACTTGGCTCACCTTAGAGGAATCTCTCTCTGGAGAACAGCAGAGATAAGAAAAGAACAGGTCTGCCAGCTCTTCATCGGGTCTAAAGGCCCTTTTCCTCTATGGCTTGGGCTTTGTTTACTGGCCCACTAGTTAGTCTTAAATGTTCTGGCTCAGCTCATTCCAACTGAGAAGGCACTTCAAACTGAATGGCAACAGAAATGCAGTGCTGGTTGCCTTTCTGACTGCCCTGGGCAGGTGCCTCCTGTTGAGACCAGGTGAGCTTCATTTGCACAATGGGCAAATTATCTGCATCTTTTAAAAGGGCACAATTATTTACCTCTTTTCACAGACTATGTAAGAAATAGAGGTTGATTGATAAGAATTTGAATTTATTGGCGATTGCAGGGTTGTTTCCGTGTTTTTTTAAAATTTAAAATATTAAGATAATTATTATTGGAAGAGCTTGTTGATATTCAAGCCCTGGAGAGTTTAATAGCTCCAGATATGTGGTTGCCTTTGGTTCTAGGAATATTGAAAAAAAATCTAATTTTCCACATTCACTCTTCTCCCTATTTGGGGAAGAAAATGCCCCTAGACATTAATCTTCCAAATTGACATGCATTTTGTTGTAAGATCACATATTTTCAATGCTGCTAGTAATTGGATTACTTCCAACTCCCTGCAATTTCTAGGTTTTTATTTTCTCTACCTCTCCCCTTTCCAAGTTATAATTGTCAGTCTTAACCTTATCATCTAAGGATCAAAGGAGATCTGATTACAGGCAACATTAAATGCACTGGACATTTATTTTTAAATCTTTCCTGCGTATTGGGAATTTTACCAGGGGCTGTTTTTGTTAGTCAGGGCATACATGTGCCTATGGATTATTTAATCTTAACCATGAGTGTGTGAGATTCTTTTGCTTGATGGATTTAGGGCTTAATCCATTTAATAATAAATTGTTTCCAGGTGAAAAAATATTTCAGCTATTGTAGTTCCTTTGAATTTTCATGTAAATCTTTAGAATAATTTGTATCTACAAAAATTCTTGTTGGGCTTTTGGTGGTAGGAATTATATTAAGTTTGTATATCAATATGGAGAGAATTTACATCTTTACTGTGCTGACTCATCTAGTCCATGGGCGTGGTATGTTTCTCAATTTATTTAGATCTTCTTTGATTTCCTTGATCAGCATTTTGCAGTTTTAGCCTAAAATTCCTATACATATTTTGTTAGATTTACATGTGTTACATTTTTGAGCAATATAAATGGTATTCTGCTTTTTCAGTGTCCATATGCTCACTGCTAGTATACAGAAATAAAGTTGAATTTTGTATGTTTATCTTGCAACTTTGCTCAATTTACTTATAAGTTCTAAGAGGTTTGTTTTATCAAATCCTTGGGACTTCCTACATAGACAGTCATGTGGTCTACAATAAAGACCGTTTTATTTCTTCCTTTCTGATCTGTATGCCCTTTATTTACTTCTCTTGCCGACTGCACTTGCTAGAACCTCAATCACTCTGGTTGAATAAGGGTGTGTGTGAGAAGGGACATTCCTGTATGGTTCACAATCTTAGGAAGCATTCAGTCTCTCACCGTTCAGTATAACACTAGCTGTGCTTTGTAACTGCTCCTTATGACAGTTATTCTAGTGGGTATGCTTTTCATTTAAAAGATCCCTTGGGCCGGGATGATAGTGGTTGAAACCAGAGTAGTAGTGGCAGGCGTGGTGAGAAATTATTCGGTTCTTGATATGTGTTGGCAACAGAGTTGGCAGGTCTTACTGATAGTCTGACGAGGCCTGGAGAGAAAGAAGCTATTGCCGGAATCTAGTGAGATGGTGGAATATTTCTCATGGTGTGAGGAGTACACCAGTGAAGAAATACACATTATTTTATGTTGTACTACACGGCATCTAAATAATAACATTTAATCCCGGAAAAGTACTCCCTGTGTCAATTTCCTTTAACTCTTTATTACACCACAGAGAGAGTCTCAGTTGGGTGTTAGTATCCCTATACACCTCGGCACTTGATCAGCTCTCTTTGTAACAGCCAGAGAAGGCTCTAGAGCAGGGGTCATCAAACTGTGGGTCGAGACCCCTTTGGCGGTCGAACGACCCTTTCACAGGGGTCACCTAAGACCATCCTGCATATCAGATATTTACATTACAATTCATAACAGTAGCAACATTACAGTTATGAAGTAGCAATGAAAATAATTTTATGGTTGGGTCACAACATGAGGAACTGTATTTAAAGGGCCAGAAGGTTGAGAACCTCTGCTCTAGAGCCAGACATGTTGGACAACATTGGACAGTAATGATTGATTTTTATTTTATTTATTCGTATAATTACTTTTGACTTAGAGCAGGTGATTTTTGTATTTTTTAAAGCCCATGGTTTATTTTTTTAAAAATCCTCATTTTAAGTTAAACCTATTTAAGTTTATAACGTGAAACAACTCCAAGAAAAACATTAAGGAACTCATCGTGAAAAGAGTACCCAGTCACAGCAAGATCCGAAAATGGGATGCAAAGATCTGAAACCTGGCAAGCTGAGAGGTGGGAAGAGAAAGGCCCAGAAAGGGGCACCGTGCTCGCCTCCTAGCTGGGTCACGCTTCCAGGATTCCAGGAACCCCGAGGGCAAGGTATTTCCCAATGGGCCTTGCAGGTGGTGATGAAATTTTCTCCCATGTCCTTTCAGACTGGGGGCCTGACCTTGAACCAGCCCAGTAACCGGTTTCATCAAAGGTTGTAGTTAGTGAGGTTGGCGTCAGACCGCACTGGATGAGGGAGAGGCCCCACGGCGGGCACTTTGGACATTCGAGGCCTGGGAGCGGGAGGCTGGGGTATTCCAAACTGGAAAACCTTCCTGGGGCTTTGGACCAGCTGCCATTAGAGAAACTCTGGCCCATTCCCCAGAGTCTCTGGAACCGGCTAAGAGACTAAGAGTACGATACTGAGTATTAGCCCAGGGCAGTGGTTCTCAACCTTGGCTGCACATTAGAGTCACCTGGGAATCTTTTTAAAATTCTGATTTCTGGGCCTCATCCTCTGGAAATTCTGTTTCTTTGTTACTAATGTTGTGGCCCCACCCCATAACAAAGAAACAGGATTTTAAAAAGATGCCCAGGTGATTCTAATGTGCAGCCAAGGTTAAGAAACACTGGCCCAGTGGCTTCCATCTGGCGTGGTTCAAAAGTAATAATAAGAATGTTGTTAATATAGCAAGAATATAGACTGTATCATGTACCAGGCACTATTTCCTGCTCTTCACATGTACGATCTCATTTAATCCTTCTAATAATCACGCTGCATTAGACAAAGCTACATTCAAGTCCTGGCCGTGCTGCTTGCTTACTGTGGCAACCCAAGGCAAGAGGTTTCATTCCAATGGCCTCAGCTTCCTTTCTGAAAAAGGAATGATAATAGAGATGTTGGGAGGATTAACAGGCAAGGGTGTAGCACAGTCCTTGCACCCGGTAAGTGTTCCGCAATGGGCAACAATCGTCATTCTGCCTGTGTGTCCCCTTCCTAGATGTGCATCCCACACACTCCGCTCAGTGGGATTAACACTCTTTCCACTCAGCGGCCGGGAAGGGGGTGGGGAGTGGAGGGCATGTCTCTGTCTCCACCTCTTTTTGAAAGTGGGTGAGGGCTTGTGACGAGCCCACTAATAGAACACGGCAGATGGATGCTAGATATTTCCAAGGCTGAGCTCGGAAAAGGGTACAGCTTCTACCTGGTTCCTTCACCCTTGAGACTCTCGCCTTAGAAACAACCACCATATTGGATGTTCAAACTAAACCACACACACACACACACACACACACACACACACACACACACACAGAAACCAAGGCTCCTGACAAACAGCCGGTGGCAAGGAACTGGCGAATGAGTGAATCAGCCTCAGAGGATTCCAGGCCCACCCCCACCCCCCCACACACACACCCAGCTGAGGCCCCAGATGTGGTAGGTCAGAGATAAGACATCCCCCTACTGCCCTGTCCAAATTTTTGACCCACATAATCTGTGAGCATAGTAAGTAGTTGTTTGGTGTCATTAGGTTCTGGAGCAATTGTTCCATTTCTGTATTTAAAGGGCCAGAAGAGCCCTTTATCACTTGGAGAAGAGCTTCTTAGAGGAAGGAGAGTCCACAAGGCGTGAGTCCTCTACCTGGGTGGCTTAGAACTGCAGGAGGAGAATGGCCCCCAGGCTGCACCACGAACTTCCTCTCTGTGTGTCTTCCCCCTTGAAAAGGAAGTAGAATGTGGGAGGGAATTCTTAAAGAACGTCCACAGTCCATTGATGATTTGACTACCATTTCTTTTCATTCCCTACTAGATAGGCCCATTGGACAGATGAGAAGACTGAGGCTCAGAGAGATTGAGACGTTTGTCCAAGGTCACACAGCCTTGATACACACTGCTACTTCCCTACAGCCCATTGCTAATAAGCAAGTAACACTTTATGGTAAACTCTGCATTATATACTGATTGCAGTCATCCTCCCAGTTATTAAGGGCTTGGTGTGTGTCAAGCACAGTGCTGGGCACTTACATAAATGGTCAGGTCCTGCCTGACCCCAGGTCCTGCCTGCTGTGCTCTCAATCATTGTGCAATACCCTCTCTGTGACCTTTTTCTGCTTTTTGAATGCAAGTTCTTTGCAGTGACTGCTCCCTCTGCCTTTCCCACCTTCCTATCACAGTGGCTGATTCATTCTCATTCAGGTCTCAATGCAAATGTCACCTCCTCAGAGGGGCCTCCGTGATCACCTAATCGGATGAAACGTAGCCTTCCTCAACGCTCTATCACTTGTTCTGTATGGAACCCCCCTGAGTTATTTCCTTTACAACATGGCTTGTCATTTGCAATTATTCCCCACTGGGTTAAGCCCCATGAGAACAAGGAGTCCAAATTGTTTCTGTAAGGGTTGGAACATTCCCAGTGCCTGGAACATAGTAGGGATTCAAGAAATATTGAATAATTAAACCTGCTTGAAATCATTGTATTTTGTTATTATGAACATCAATCAAAAGTCTAAATATCATTCACTCAACAAGTATTAATTGAGCACCTACTATGTACTAGGCACCATTTTGGGTTCTGGTCTATAGTAGTGATCAAATAAGACAAAAGCCTCTGCTCTTAATGAGGCTTCATTTCAGTAGCGTTATAATGAATGAAACATACAGCATATCCCATGGTGCTTGGTGCTATGGGGAAAAAGGAAGCAAGGAGAGGGGAGAGAGCATGAGGGGAGTATTGGCACCACTCCCCCGACCCCCCGCCCCCTCCAGTAGGGACTCTCAGTGCCCCACACTCTCCTCGCTGAGCCCTGTACCACTGCCAGCATCTTTCCCTGTGACATTTTGGTGGAGTCCTCTACAGCTCCAAGAGCAATATTGCCTTTGAGGCAAGTCCCTGCAGGTGGGCCTCAGGCCGGGGTTGGGATAAGTCACCCCTGGAGATGCCTGGGGGTGGTCAAGCTTGGCCTGGCAGGGTCTTCCCTCACTCTGAAAGGGGCAGGCCCTGAACTCCCCTGGCCTGGACTGCAATGGACTCTGGGTTCCGGGCATCCTCTTGCCCCTCCATTCCAGGCACAGACAAGGTTTACAAACAGGAGGAGGCCTTTGATCAGAACCAACCCCCGGGGTCCGGAGTGTTTATTGTTCCAAGCTGCAAGTCAGGACCGGACTCTGCTTTGAACTCCAGCAGGAAGACTGAGGGTAGGTGGTGTGTGTGTGTGTGTGTGTGTGTGTGTGTGTGTGTGTGTTTGCAGTAGTGGGAGGAAGGCTCACGCGGCTCCTTGATTTCCTTCCCAACAACCAGGTGGGACTTGTATGAGAAAACTCATGTCAATTCAGTAAATATTTACAGAGCACCCACTGCTTTCCAGGTACCATAATAGAAATTAGGGCTGGAGCAGTGGGGCCACCAAGGCCCCCTGTCCGCGGAGCACACAAGAAGCAACTGAGCAAATATAGGATACCCGAGCTTGTGAGTGGGAGGGAGAGAAAGCTGGGCGGGGGCGGGGAGGGGGTGTCGGATAGGGAGGGCTGGGGATGGGGGTGCTACCTTTTACACAGGGTGCTCGTGGAAGGCAAAGGGGTGTTTGGCAGAGACCTGAAGGAAGTGAGGTCTGTGGGGAACAGGGTTGCAGGCAAAGGGAACAGCAAGTACAAAAGCCATGAGATGGGCGCATGATTGTGGGAAGAACTGTGTGGCCGACCCAGAATGACAAGCAGGGTCAGAAAGGGTAGGGTGAGGGCAAGTGGATATACTGACCTTGAATGAGGTAGGAACACTGGAGTGTTTGAAAAGAGGAACGGTATGATCTGAATTAGATGGAAGAGGATGCCCCAGGCTGCTGTGTGGAAAACAGATGCGGGGGCGGAGGCGGGGAGAGGTGACGCAGAAGCAAGGCATCCATAAGGAGACTGCTGCAAAAGATCCTGTGGCCACAGCCGGAGGGATGGTTGTGAAGAGGTACATAGCAACAGGTTCTAACCTTGTGTTCATAAGCTTTTGATTGAATTGTAACAGACATACAGAAAAGCACACACATCATAATATGTATGCACCTTGATGAAGTTTTACAACCGAATCCACCCATGTAATGAGCACTGAGCTCAAGAAATAGACCTGACCCGTTTCCCAGGTGCCCCCAGAGCCTGCTCCAAGCCACTGCCCCTCTCCGAAGCCAGTCTCCTAACGTCAGGACTGTATTTTGAAGGTAAAGCTAACAGGATTTGCTGCTGTAGGGCTGGGTGGGAGTGTGGGGGTGAGAGAGGGGAGTCAAGGGGGCTCCCTGGTTTGGAGCTAAAGCACTGGCTTTGCAGAGCTGCCGTTTCCTGTGATGGGAAGGCTGGCACAGAGACCCAGGGGCGGAGTGCGTTTCTGACCATGTTGAGTTTGAGATGCCTGTTCGACCTCTGGAGAAGGCACAGGCCATCTCATCTGGGAGCTGCAAATTCAAATGCCTGCAGGGACCAGCGGCATGAGGGTGAAGGGGTCTGGGAGCAAGAAATATTTCATTTTCCTCTTAACTTGATACTGAAAAGAGCAGGATAAGCTTGATAATAAATGGTGGCTGGCAGCTGGCTCTGCATCAAGGGGCAATAGGGAAGGGTGGGGATTGGGGTGAATCGGTGAGCACGAGCCCCCCACTAAAGAGAGAGGTATTGGAACTGTGTCTAGTGTGGCCAGATCTCCTGACAGTATGCCCAGAGAAGTCAGGTGTCTGGATTTTTCTATGAAATATTAAAATGGTTTAACACTAGCAACCAAAAACCAAACACTATATGGACCCAACAAAAATGTCTGTGGGTATGGCAACCTGTCTGATCCAGATCAAACTGTTCATTTTATAGATGGGGAAACTGAGACCCAGAGAAGCCTGGCATTTCTCCCAAACTCGAGGAGGACGTTGGTGGCAGAGATTGGCCAGGCCTTGAATAGGCTGAATCTCAGTCCAGTGTTCTTGCCGCGTGGTTTCTGGAGGGCAGGTGCTGGAGTCCGTCTGCCACTGCTCCTTCACTTTGATCTAAAGAGAGGCTCCTGCTGCCCCGTATGCCCAGCCTGACCCAGAAAGGCACAGATGCCATGGGACAAACATGGCTTTAGGGGACTGGAATCTGCATCTTTCTTTGGCTTAAATGACAGGAAACCTGGTTAAAGCGCATCAGCTTTAAAGATGGTCGCTTATGCGGTAAATCAAGGAAGAGAGGCTTGAGGTCTGATGTCAATAGAGTCACACTCTGCCCATCGCTCTACTCCATGGTCCTCTTCTCGCTGACGCTTTACCTGCAGGAGTGGCCTCATGGTCTCACGGTGGCTGCTGAACCTCCAATGACCACCGTTGCCTTCAAAGGCAGCGATTGCTGATGGGCAGGTGTTGGAGTCTGGGCGTTCTCACCCCCTTTCATCTTCTACGAGAAGCAAAATCTTCCCCAGAAGCACAGATTCCCTCTTGTGTGCTATCGGCCAGATAAAGGTCACACACCCACCCCTATGTCAAGGATCAACCTGAGATTCCCTGATAAAGGATAAAGCCATCGTCCACTAATAAATACCTGCACAAGCCGAGGCTCCGTCCAAAAGGGATGGGGGCGCCCGAGGCTCTTGACATTGTCTGGCACCATCTCTACTAGTTACAGGAGGATGACCGGGCAAGTTGCTCAGAACCTCTGCACTCCAGCTCCCTCTTCTGTGAAATGGGTAGGGAATAGCTACTGTTTCTGCCCCCTCCGCATCCATTTCCTGTTTTCCTGAAGCAGTGATTTTCCTTGAGGCAGTGGTACTCAGCATCACCTGGGAACATGTTGGAAATGCACATTCCCAGAGCAGCCCCAGACCCTTTGATTCAGAATACGTTAGGTTGGTGCCTGGCTATATGGAAAATTGCACCTGAGTACCCTTGGCTTATACATTGAGTATATAGTGTCGTATTAAAATTGCCTGTGTATTGGTCTCTAAAAATAGTAGCAACATAAATTGTATACTAACAACAACAGCAATAGCTAGTGCCAGGCACTGTGCAATACTCCACATGCATTATGTCACTGATGCCTGCAGTGGGCATGGAAGGACCGATTGCCTCGGATGCAGGAGCGGTCAGCAGGCAGCTTCCAGTTATTGTGCTTCCGGAATGGAGTCATGGGCAGAGTGGCCTCGTATCCAAGCTCATACCCTCCCGGGGGTGGCCCGCCAACGACTGGGTGATGTGGGGTTATGAAGGCCCGGTCATCTCGGCTCAACTTGGGACATCTCCGCAGGCCATGGTAACGGAAAAGCTCCCCATGGGGTCAGCTGAGGCTGTGGTCAGGGCTGCTTCTCAGCCCACTTCTCCCTCTGCCCTCCCCATCTCCTTCCCTTCCCTTCCCTTCTGCGGAGGTTGACTCCAAGGCCATGCCTTAGTAAATCTCCTATACACTCGACTGCATCTCAGAGTCTGTTTCCTGGGGACTCTGACCAACAGCTCCTTGAGGTAGGCACCGTTGTGAGCCCACTTTGCAGATGACACTGAGGCTCAGAGAGGTGCAGTGAGGGGGTCCCGAGCCAGGCCGCTGGTAAGCAAGGAGACAAGGGATGGGAAGCCATCAAACTTCTCAACAGAGAGGTGGCATCATCTGGCGCTGAAAGGTGCCTCTCACTGCTGATGAGGAAGACTGTAGGGGCCAGTGCAGCAGCAAGGGGAGCAGTGGGGAAACCACTGATTGCGGCAGTGTGGGGAGAGGCGAGGGGCTCCCGGTGGTAGCTGGATTCTTACTACCATGGCTCCTTCTGAGCCAGACACAGCCGAGGTGCTCAATAAATACATGGTGGATGAATGAGTGAAGGTTAGGGGGTGGGTGACAAATGAAGACAGGAGGGGAGTAGGCATCCCACATCTGTTTTGCTCCATTCTGAGTGATGAGCATGGTGCTCACCACATATGGATGCTCAGCTAAAGTGTTGAGTGAATAAATGAACAAGTTCAAGAGAGGGAGATGGGAAGAAAAGAGGGAAGAGGGAGGAAGGAGAGGGAGAAAGGCAGAGAGAGGCAGGATGGAGGAAGAGAGAGGGGAGGAGGAAGTGGAGGAGGAGGAATGGGAGGGAAGATTCCTTTACATCTTTGCTCCAGGAATGAGAGTAACTTGCGACCTCTAGTGGCAAAAGAGAGCCACTCCTCTGGGCTGGGGAAAGGGGAATTCAGTGCTTTGGAGTTGCAGTGCCAACTTCAGGACCTGAGAGGATATTCCCGGTTCCCCAAAAGAGGTTTGTAAGAACATGGGTTCTAGCAGTCAGGGTCAGCCGGGTGAGGACAGGGACCAGGCGAATGAGGCTCTTCCTTGGGCACAAGCTAAGGGGGCGCCTAAAAACTCGGTAATCAAGACAGATGTTTTAATGTAATACTTGAAAAAAATCAAGTTGGCAAGCGGTGGCACACAAGTCAGCTGCCTGTTTTTGTAAATAAAATTTTATTAGAACCAGGACCAGGATTAGGGTTTACTTTCTTAGTTACAGTGAGATCATACCCCACATGCTTCATGAATGTGGGTGTTCCCAAAGCCCCTCAGCCTGCACGTGGTGCTGGTGTGGTCAGCTCACCTAATTTAACAAGAGCACGCCTGTACAGGGCACTCACTATGCCAGGCTTGCGTAAGTCCTTCCTGTGGCCCATGGACTGCCCACGAGGCTCTTTTAAATATTCCACATGTGGGCCATGCCCTTCTCAGTGATGGACAGATCTCAGGGTCACATCACATTTCCCTGACTGTGCCACTCACTAGTTGGGGGACCTTGGTCAAGATTCAATTTCTCTGAGCCTCACTTGCCTCCTCTGTGAAATGGGTTAATGCATGCAAAGAACTTAAAACTTCTCAACAAACGGTTGCTGTTGTTTAAAATGTGGGCTATCCTCCAAGGTTTGAAACCCAGCTCTACCACTGACTGTGATGTTGGGACATGATGTTTTGCATTGCTAAGAGTGTTTTCCCATCTGTAAAGTGGGGGTTAGAACTCCTGTCTGAGAGGGTTCAGGTGGGAATTCACGCACAGCTGCCATTGGCTCATCACTACAAAGCACCGGCCAACTCCGCATGGACCCCGAGGGAGCTGGAATGGCAGGAGGACGCCTCAGAGCTTGTGAGACAACTAGGTCCACTGAGGAATGCTTGTTAACCTCTTACTTCCGATAGGCCGAGTACCCAGATAAGCCAGTGGTCTGCAGTATCCCTCTCCCTCTCAGCGCCTGCAGGGGAGATCAGTTTTCCTTCCCCACCGCTGCCGGCTGCCATGTCACTCACACCAAGGGCTGTCTAGTGGTTTCCAGCACGCTTGGCCACACCCCCACCCCAGCTACCACATCACTGGCCCAGCCGGTTGTGTGGCCTTCTTGCTGATTTCTTGCCCCTATTCCTTTTTCTACCAATGTAATGCTTTCAAAACATGTCTCCCTGTTTAAAACCCTCTGAGACACATCCTATATAATAAGAGCCTAATATGCTAAGTGTCCAGACCGGTTGTGTGGCCTTCTCGCTGATTTCTTGCCCCTATTCCTTTTTCTACCAATGCAATGCTTTCAAAACATGTCTCCTTGTTTAAAAACCCTCTGAGACACATCCCATATAATAAGAGCCTAATATGCTAAGTGTCTGGACAACTGTTCAACCAATCAAAGCGTAATATGCTAATGATATGCTAAGGCCGCTCAACCGCTCACTATGCACTGACCACTAGGGGAAAGACACTCCGACCAGTAGGTTAGCTTGTTGCTGGGGTCTGGCTAATGGGAACTGAGATGGGCCGGACACGCCCTGGAGCCCTCCCGTGGTCCCTCCCCGGCTGGCCAACCTCCCGCATCTCTCCCCGGCCCTGATCTTGCACCGGTGGGGTCCCGGGGACTGAGATGGGCCGGACATGCTCTGGAGCCCTCCCATGGTCCCTCCCCTGCTGGCCAACCCCCCGCATCTCTCCCCGGCCCTCATCTTGCACCAGTGGGGTCCCTCAGCCTGGCCTGCTCCCTCTCACAATCCGGGACCCCTCAGGGGATGTCGGAGAGCCGGTTTCAGCTCAATCCCGCAGACCAGGCCAAGGGACCCCACTGGTGCACGAATTCATGCAGCAGGCCTCTAGTTTAGAATAAAACCCAACCTTGCTACAGACCCCTAACCATCTCTCTAGCCTCATTTCCTGTTTCTCCTCCTGGCTTGCTGCAAACCAGCCCCACTGGCCTTGCTGTTTTGTACATGCAGGCCCTTCTGCCTGGAACATACTCCCGGTCTTCAGGTTTGCCTGCACATCTTAGCTCCCATGTCACTTCATCAGAGGCTTTCCCTGACCACTTCCCTCCTCCCCTTGAGGTCACACAGGACTGCAGCACCCTTACAGCATGCGTCGCTGCCTGAAACTGCCATGGGCACTTCGTTTATGCTTCCAGGAGAGCGAGGACAGCCTCCATGCTCCCTATCTCCAGGACCAGGCACAGAGTGAGTGCTGGGTATGACTTATTGTCTGCACACGTTCAGGTGGGAATTCACTCATTCTTCCCACCAGGTAGACACTGGCCTTAATCAACCTTATAGTACATTTGAGGACCCTGGGGGATGAGCCCTCTGTCCTTTTTAAAATATATATATATATTATTGATTTTTACAGAGAGGAAAGGAGAGAGATAGTTAGAAACATCAATGAGAGAGAAACATCTATCAGCTGCCTCCTGCATGCCCCCCACTGGGAATGGAGCCTGCAAACAAGATACATGCCCTCAACCGGAATCGAACCCTAGACTTTACAGTCCACAAGCTGATGCTCCATTCACTGAGCCAAACCAGTTAGGGCATGCCCTCTGTCTTATTGCATACTCACTAAAAAAAACCAAAAAACAGCCTTTGGAGATGTTTAAAAATGTTATATACTGCCAATACACATCCTCCTATATAATAAAAGCCTAATATGCTAAGTGTCCCGTCGTCCATTCAACCAATCAAAGTGTAGTATGCTAAGGCCACTCAACTGCTGGCTATGATATGCACTGACCACCAGGGGGCAGTTGATCGGTTGACCAGTCACTATGACATATACTGACCACCAGGGGCAGATGCTCTGACCAGTAGGTTAGCTTGCTGCTGGGGTCTGGCCAATTGGGACTGAGCAAGATAGGCCGGACATACCCTGGAGCCCTACCGTGGTCCCTCCCCAGCTGGCCAACCTCCTGCATCCCTCCCCGGCCCCAATGGTGCATTGTTGCGGTCCCTTGGTCTGGCCTGTGCCCTCTTGCAATCCGGGATCCCTCGGGGGATGTCAGAGAGCCAGTTTTGGCCCAATCCCACAGGCCAGGTCGAGAGACCCCACTGGTGCACGAATTCATCTACCAGGCCTCTAGTTATCAGATTAAGACCTGTCATAGCCAGCATTTCATTTCTTAAAGGATCAGTGGAAAGAACATGGGCTTTGGAGGCAGGTGAAGTACCCCTAGCTGTGACCCCTTGGATAAGTTCCCCCCCATTTAAACCCATTTCTCCATCTATAAAATGGGGACGATACCTAACGTAGTTGTTTTAGATCCTGGCACAATGCCTAACATGCAGTAACCAGGTGATGATTAGTTCTACGAGTCACCACTGCCCGGGAAGGGCTGCTTTCTTTCATTCCTGGGCATCTGCCACATGGAAGTGCTAGCTGTGGTGATGGAAACAGACACGTCTCGGGCCCACCCGAACGTTCCCTCCAGGAGAGCAGGTGTCGTGTCCATCTTGTTCATTGTTGTACCCAGTACCTACTACAGTGCCAGGCACACAAAACATTCACTTGCTAGTTGGAGCTGACAAAAGTATTTTACTATACCTTCCACACACACCTTCGTTGGGGCAAGAAACTGAGCCTGGGCAAGGTTAAGCGTGAGCTATTAGTGGCACTTTGCATCTTATTTCAGGTTTCTTCTACCTTCCTGTAAACCAGGCTTCATCAAACTTCAGTCATAGCCAAGCCACGTCACCATTTTTACTCTATCTACTTACTGTCTGTGAGACAAAGTGATTCCCATTTTTACCTATATAAACTAAAAGGACTTTATATCAATCATTGTCTTAACTAGAAGATAACCATAAAGTCACAGAGCAACAAATATAAAAACAATGTTGTATAAAAGCTTTTTAAAGGGAAATTGGAGTTAAGCAGTATTTTTCATCTTTTTCCCCATAAGCCTCAAAATATATTTTACATCAAAACCCAGTACATACTCGTCTATATACACATATATAAACAAATCTTATAAAACAGTATTGACAATACTCCATGTAATGCACATGTAACGGTATTTCCTAGTGTCTGATTCTACTTTATTTTTAAAATGCTGCTTGTATCCCACTACAGTGATTTCAAGAGGAATGTCACGAACACAACTGGTATTTCCTAGTGTCTGACTCTATTTTTAAACTGCTGCTTGTATCTCACTACAGTGATTTCAAGAGGAATGTCACGAACACAACAAACAACACTGGTTTAAAAGGCCGGTATAGATGCACTGTCACCGAGACTTTGTTCTCGTCTCCCCAGGAATGAACAGAGGACACTCTTCTCATCATGTGGTTCAATGTTTTTTATTGCCATGCCCATGTTCCTGAGGAGGAAGCCTGTCCTAGGTTTATTTTGTACTCAGTTCTGTCTAGAACAGGGGTGGGGAACCTTTTTTCTGCCATGGGCCATTTTAAGATTTATAACATCATTTGCAGGTCATACAAAATTATCAACTTAAAAATTAGCCCGCTATATTTGGTCAAACATGGGCAGGGCCAGATCAAATGATTTTGCAGGTCTTACATGGCCCACAGGCCAGATGTTGCCCACCCCTGGTCTAGAACATGGCTTATGTACATGGTAAGCTCCTGAGAACAGTTCAGTGCAGGTGATAATGACACTTAACAAGCATGAACGCAGACAGCACTTAAAAATATCCCAATACTTTTTTTAGGTGTAATCCACAGTCTTAGCACTTCAAATTTACTGTGAGGTAAATAGCTTAACTGTCCGTGGTTGTCACACGCATCCTTCTACCCGACCATGGACCTCTTTCTTCCTCTCAGGCGCACTTCATCTAATTTTTTGAGCACCGGCTTGGCCTTTTTGGAGGAGGCGGAGTAGCTCTTCAGAAAGGCTTCAAACACACTCTCGGTGTTGGGATGGGTGCTGAGGAAGGCTTTCTCCAGCACGTAGAGGTCAACCCCCTTATCCTCCGGAAGTGCTGAAATGAAACTCAGCCCAAAGTCGATGAGCACAATGTTCAGCTGCTCCAGGGGGGGTTTCAGGAGCATGTTCGAGGTGGTGAGATCACCATGAATGAGGTCCTCATCGTGCATGCGAGCCAAAACCTGCCCCACAGTCTTGGCTAAGCCAAGGAGACTTTCGGGAGTTTTTCCAGTCTCGATAGTGGATTGAATATAATCTCGAACAGTCACAGAGCCCTCAATTTCTTCCATGAATAAGCAGTTGGAAGCATAATCCACAAAGAAGACAACTGGGGCAGATATCCCTGCAATCAAGACATAACCCGTGTGAATTAGACTCCTTTTTTTTTTTTTAATGGTAAGCTTAACTTTCAAAGATTGATGCAGTTTTTTACATTTCCTATCTGCTTATTTCAGGAAAAAGACTTAAAAACACTGCAGAATGGTACATTGGAACTCATCTGAAAGTTTCCCCTGCTCATGCTCTTTATAACTGCTCCCTAAACTACCTCATGGCTAAGTTTAGTGCCAAAGCTCCCTCCAACTTTCCACCCGTTACGACTGGACTTCATTCATACTTATTTCCTAAAAAACAAACAAACAAAGCCAGAAGGGTAAGTGTAGCCCAGGAAAAGCACTATCTACCTGACAAGGACCCAAACAGGAGGCCAAGCAGTGTACTGGCTTCCAGATTCATCTTCAAAGTCAGAAGGATGAATTCAACTCCCAGCTCCCTTCCTTGTTAGTTGTGAGCAAGGGGTGAAGAAAACAAGATGAAACCAGTACAGCTAAGCTGACTTAAAAGGGAGTCTGTATGGTCAGGCTGACCAAATTGGTTCAGACAAATGGGAGGAAGCCCAAGGAAAAGATTTTACTTCATTTTAACTAGCCGGAGAACTTGAACTTTTTAACTGGAGGATATATAAATACTATAACTCCCTGAAGAACTGATATTCATTGTGCAGACGATCACTAATCTAGAGGATTCGCATCTCAGACTAATCCAGAGGCTAGGAATACAGGGCTGAGTGTTCTCAAGAATGTACTTTTTACTATAAGAACTCCCAACTTTTTTCTTCGGAATGCTCTGGGTGTTACCCCGTAATGTTTCCAATTTGCAAATTCTAAGACCCTTGAATAAAACTTTGTCATTTTCAACTTTAACAAGGTCTCCTGATTCATTTACGCTTGGTTGCCACTTGTATAACCTTAAAGTCACATAAACTTCTCTCCACCTCCCTTACTGCTTCTATAACATGAGAACAAGACTTGCAAAGATGTAATGAATCTTTACTAAATGTCAATCATGCTCAGGATACTGGGAACATTTTGGGGGGTTTAGGGGAGATACAGAAGGAAATAGGGCAGCCACGATCCCTGCTTAATGAACCTTATATCCTAGAGAGGATGCAAAAGAAAATATAAACACACAGATAACTTCCTTAAACCCGAGCAGGTCAGAGATCCGCCTGCTTGTTCACTACTGCATTTCCTCCAGATCTCCCAGCACCTGACAATGTCCGGGTGCACAGGTGCCTAAAAAAATACCAATGTCAGGAAGAAAGGCAGGAAGTATGAAAGTGAAAAGCCCGTTTTTCTGAGGCAGAGGAATACGAGCTGAGCGCTTGGCTGGGTCACTAACTGAGTAACTTTGGGCAAGTTGCTTCCCCTCTCTGAGACGCAGTTTCTCACCTGAGAACAAGTTTACGGTGATGGTGCAAAATGGTGTTTTAATGGGGAAAAAAAGTGATTTAATGAAATCTAACTTTATTAAGCACTACATGCCAGTCATACATTCAAATGTAATACATGGCATACATACCTCATCGAATGGTCCCAAAAGCCCTATGAGATTAATACTGCAACTGGGATTTCTCTTTATGGGTGAGGAAACAGGCTGAGAGGTTACAAAACCTGTTGAAAGGCTACAGTGGTGTCGGTATTTAAACCCAGAGAGTCTGACTCCAGCGCAAGTACTCATACTTGCATCTGCTTCTTAAAAGTAATCCTATATAATAAAGAGGTAATATGCAAATTAACCCTCATGCTCTCACAAGATGGCTGCCTAGGAGGCAGAGCTTTTGACACTGACTGGCATAACTGACCAATCAGAACCAAGTCATTAACCCTCATGCTCTCACAAGATGGCTGCCTAGGAGGCAGAGCTTTTGATGCTGATGGCATAGAAACCAACCAATCAGAACCTAATCTGGGTGAACTACGAAGGCAGAGCCTAAGGTGGGGGTTGAGGAGGGGTTTTAAGGGCAACAGCTACTTGGTATAAGGTGTAAGAAAGGGGTTCAATATTTTAATGACCGGTTTGGCAGCATAGTGCATATGGCTGGCTATCAGTCCAGATATAGGGATTATGTATATTTGTCTGCCAAGAGCATCTTCTCCTGCTGGAAAAGGCTTTTCCCCACCATTTAAGCAATCCTGTACTACATAATCTATACTAATAAAAGGGTACTATGCTAATTAGACCGGGTCGACCGGCCATCTTCCTGACTTCCAACTTCCTTCCAGACAAAGCCATGATGGTGGGGGCCGAAGCAGAGGCAGTTAGGGGCGAGCAGGCCAGCAGGGGAGGGCAGTTGGGGGCGACCAGGCAGGCAGAGAGGTTAGGGGCAATCAGGCAGGCAGAGGCAGTTAGGGGCAATCAGGCAGGCAGGCAGGTGAGCGGTTAGGAGCCAGCAGTCCCAGATCGCCAAGGGGTCCCCGATTAAAGAGGGTGCAGGCTGGGCTGAGGGACCCCCCCACACACGAATTTCGTGCACCAGGCCACTAGTGCATAGATAATGATCAAATACTGAAAGGGCACAAAAGGGGCAACCGAGACTGAGCATGGTTAAATAACGCACTCTACAGGAGCCACCGTGGCAGAGCCTGGTACTGACCAGGCTCCCGGACCAATGCTCGCGCCTGCAAGGCCCAGCGGCTGCCTAAGCATTAATGAATGAAGAGGCAGGGACAGAGGACGCACTCAAAGCCACGCAGACCGCAGGGGGCGAAAGGGAGTCCTGCACCGGCACCGGCACCCGCACCGCCTCAGCCCGAGCCGTGCCGTCTCACCTGC